CCCAGCCAGCAAAGCTGGCTGGGGAATTCTGGGAGTTGAAGTCCTCCAGGCTTAAAGTTGCCAAGGTTGGACACCCCTGCTTTAGATTGTTTGACTTTCTTTGTTGCTTTTGTTCCTTTTTACTTTGATGGCCATTGGATGTAATTAAATTGATTTCATACATTTAAAAAAAAAAATAGGTGGAATAAATTACCCGACTTTCTTTAATCTTACAATACCGGGAAGCAAACTTTTAAAAGCAACACTCAGCATAGAGAGATTATGAAGATAATACCTTAATATAGCACAGGAATAATATATCTTATGGACAGTTTTTCTTGGTTCATAAAAAAAATCAAATGTGCTCTGTATAGAATTAAATAAGGAACAAAATCCACAGTGTATCAAATAATCTTTTAATGAAATGCAGTTGGAAGCCCTTTCGTTTAAATTGTACTGTCAGGAACAAATTTTAAGCTATAAATTAGTGGAGCACAAGCTTCTCTCTCCCCCCGTCCCCCCCACAAAAAATGCACTGCCTGGGATACAGTTTGCATGACAGGTTTTTAGCAAATGCTCCCTGGCTGTTCATCATGACTTGAAAATTGGAGTCTGTTAAGTCTCTTGAATATTGAGCAGCTGTGCTTGCCACTTTGCTTTAAAAAAAAGGGGGAAAAAGATTTAATTCTCAAATGCAAATTAGAGATATTTAAATTGGGCAGATTCTAAAAAAGGCTTGATTTTTTTCAAAATTGGATTAGTTAGTATGCACTGTGCACTACGGAATGATTACTATTTAGGGATGCAACATTAGGGCGGTGTGGAGCCCACGGTAGGCAGGGCATGCTTTGGGAAGTGGGCCCCACTTCATTTCATTAAGACAACCTTGTCCTCCAGAGCAAAGGTCTGCAACCTTGGCAACTTTTGTCTGTCATTTGTTAGAAATGGTGTAGGGTCTCCCGCTTGGTCGGGGGGGTTGGACTAGATGACCTACAAGGTCCTTTCCAACTCTGATTATCTGTTATCTGTTACTTTAAGACTTGTGGACTTCAACTCTCAGAGTTCCTCAGTCAGCTTTGCTGGGAGCCATTGATCAGCTTTGCTGGCTGAGGAACGCTGAGAGTTGAAGTCCACAAGTTTTAAAGTTGCCAAGGTTGGAGACCCCTGCTGCAGAAGACTTCCCAAGTTTCTTCTTTATATTCAGACACGTGGACAGATGCTGTATAGTCATCTGAGATTCCACTTGGAAAAGTCCACAAAGCAGTTCTGACACTGTGGTCTCAACACCTCTTCACTCCTGTGTTTTGCCAATGTGTTTATTCTGCTTACTATCACGCAATCCACCCCTATCTCAACCCCTTCACTGTCTTCCCGTTGACCTGCATCAAGAGCACAAACTCTGCAATTGTTTCTGTACCGGGTCATTAAAATCATTTTAACAGCACTGTTTAGCTTTTCCTATTTCCTCAAATAATACATTCATCTTAAATATCCAGGGAGGAATGCCCAAGAGGAAGAAACCAAACCAAATTATTATTAATTTTCTTCCTGGGTCTTTGCACGTAGATTGTGAAATATACAGCAGGCCGTGTTCATTTATTTTCAACAAGACCTTTTGCAAACTTAAGAACTGGTGACTTTTGTTTTAATAGCAACTGAAATTGTGAAGGTGGCTTCTGCAATTTTTTTTTTTTTAACCTTGGTACATAATTGCAGCCAAGCAAATGTCAAGGGAGATCACATGGAATACAAGAAAACTCTGTAGGAACAAGTGAGTTAAGATCTCTCTCTCTCTGGATATTATTCCAAAATAAAGACAGACTTCTAGGCCTAAGAGTTGGAGTAGTTTATCACCTGTATCAACCTGTCCAGCTTATTTCTCTTCCTATTAAAATGATAGATGTTGTCTGAGACTTTACACATGCACAGTATGCCAATCAAAATAGAAAAACCAGTATACTGGGATTTGAGGACTTGGCACGTCTCCTCAAATGCCTTCTAATCCAACCTTCTGCTCTGCAACATTTCAGACGAACGGTTGCCCATCTCTTCTTAAAAGTCTTAGTGTTGGATCATCTACAACTTCTGAAGGGAAGTTGTTCCACTGGTTGATTGTCCTCACTGTTAGGAAATTTCTCTCCTTAGTTCAAGGTTGTTTCTCTCCTTGATGAATTTCCTTCCTTTGCTTCTTGTCCTGCCTTCATGTGCTTTGGAGAATAGCTGGACTCCCTCTCCTTTATATGAGCCCCTCAAGTATTGGAAGATTGCTACCATGTCCCTAGTCCTTTTTTTCATTAAAGTAGACACTGTCCAATTCCTGCTATTCTTTATTGATTTTAGCTCCAGCCCCAAGGAAGGGAGGGAGGGAGGGAGGAAAAAGGAAGGGAGGGAGGGAAGTAGAGGGAAGCAGAGGGAAGAGGGGAGGGAGGAGAAAAGAAGATGGATAGGAGGGAGGAAGAGGGAGGGAGGAAAGGAGGAAAGGAAGGAAGGAAGGAAGGAGACCAATAGGGCAACCAATAGTGAGATGGATGGACTTAATTACAAAAGCAGTGAATGCACTATTGAGAAACATCCAGTTTGAGAACAGACCATCCTGGAGATATTCTGTTTTTGTGGTGGCTGAGAATCAGAACTGGCTTGACAGTATATAATCTGGTACACAAGTAATCTTAATATTCATTTCTACAAGTTATGGAAGCCACAACACTTTTATTCAAAGGTCAAAAACTGAAAACTGAGCTCCCTGCATCTGGTGTTTATGAATTGAATATAATTGGGGGGGAAATCACGTTATTCTACATAACCAACCCAGTCCTATTGCTGACATTTTATAAGTTATTAATGAACGGGCAATTGCAATTATTGTAATTATTGTCAGGGGCTGCTTTTCGTTGATGAACTTGGTGCATCTAATCTACCAGGTCTCCTTTCTTTTCCAGCTTACATGATGATGATTGGAGATCATATTTTTGCCGTGACCGGATTCCTTCTTGGTAATCTTTCCTTTTTGCTTTGGTTTCTTAGACAGCGTCGAAGATGAAATCGAAATGGCCACTGTGCGACATCGGCCAGAAGCCTTGGAACTGCTGGAAGCCCAGAGCAGATTCACAAAGAAGGAACTTCAGATTCTGTATCGGGGGTTCAAAAACGTAAGTGTCTCTTCTGGATTTTGCCCCAAAAGTAGATAATTGGGAAATTACTGAAAATATTTTGGTGGGGAATGTAACTGCATAAATACACAATGCCTATTTCTCAACAGTAGTAGAATGCACCCAGATATATGATGGTAATGATTCGTTTCCTGGCCATGGTTGGTTAAAATGATCTGATGTTGTGATTTCTGTGGGGACAAAATGCTCCTTGGAATACTATGGCTGAAATCGCAAGTATTTTGCAGAGCGTTTGTGAAAGGAAGGGTGGAAGAAAAACACACCAATAGAAGAAGTGCACACCCACACCCCAAGTAGATTAGACATGATCCTCAGGAATGAGAAGAATAATAGAAATAGAACTAGAACTAGAACTAGAAATAGAGTAGAGTAGAGTAGAGTAGAGCAGAGCAGAGCAGAGCAGAGCAGAGCAGAGCAGAGCAGAGCAGAGCAGAGCAGAGCAGAGTAGAGGAGTAGAGTAGAGTAGAGTAGAGTAGAGTAGAGTAGAATAGAATAGAATAGAATAGAATAGAATAGAATAGAATAGAATA